ACGGTGCCCTCGGGAAGCGCCGAAGCCATCCTGACCATTCCCGTGGATGGCACTCCTTCACCTGACAGTATTGTTGTCAAAATCTCATCCCCCGGAAAAGATGGTGAGTTGGTTAAAGCCAAAGTTTCTTGTTTTAGTATTCCAGAAATTTTTCTTTCCAAAATTTCTAAACCAGAAATGCCTATTATGTACAGTATTTATTTTGCTCATTCACAATCTTGTTATCATGAATTAGGTGAGGAAACGCCTGGTATTCTTTCAAGCAATGTTTTAGCACGTCATCCTCCTAACAGTAAGGATGAAATTGCTTCTCCAGATAGTAAATTTAGAATTCCTATTTTGGGTTTCTCTATATTTGACAATGGTTCTAGTATAATTGAGCAGTATTCTGTATTACCAATAGGAGATGCAACTTTAACTAAATATCAGATGAATGTACAGCACTCTGATTCCAAAAAATAATGTCTTGCTCATACAAATCTTTCTACTACAGATTTTGGAAGCTTAACTGAGAATCGTTCTTCAGAGGAAAGTCTTCTGAAGTCAGAAGTCAAAGCACCAGTTGCTGCAATATCTGTGGATGACACGGAATATACTGTTAAAATACCTAGATTCCGAAAACCCAAATTTGGAATTTCTTGGTCTAAGGGAAAGCCATCAGAAAGTGACATTCCTTCTAAAGTGGAACCCCAAATTTCTAAGGAAAAGATAACATCTGATATATCTGATATTGAAACCGAAAGTCCAGTTCAAGTTCCTGAAGTTCAATTAAGTGTGAAAATGCAAAAGCCTTCAGATGAAGTTGTTCCGGATACACCAAAGTTGGATGTCAGTCTTCCATCAATGGAAGTTACCATGCCAAAGATAGAAATGGAAATCCAGCATTCGAATTTAGAATGCGAACTAGAACAAGGTGTAATTTCAGGAGAAAAAGATACTGAGGAAAAAGAAAGCAAATTTAAAATGTCAAAATTCAAACTGCCTTCATTCAGTTGGTCCCCAAAGAAAGAAGCAGTTGTTCTGCCTGAAACAGAGAAATATGTGGAGGAACCCACTGCCCTTGCTTTATCTGGAGACAAAGAATCTGAATTAATGCTATCTATCCCTGAGAATCAGTATCACAGTGTTGAACTGGATACATCAACAGAAAAAGATGGGGAAAAGGGAAAAATGAAAAAGTCCCAATTTATCATGCCTAAGATCTCCCTCCTTAAAGTGAAAGGTCAAAAAGTCCATGTCTCTCTGCCTAAGCTAGAAACTGACTTTTTTGGTACCAAAGAAGGAGGTGTTTCTGTGCAGAAGTCCGCGCAAGGGAGCAGTGGAGATGGGGTAGGAATGGGCATAAATATGCCAAAAGGTAGAATCCCAACTTCAGAATTTTCCAAACCAGAAGTTGAAGTTCCCAAAGCAGACATGGATGTTAGCATGTCTCCAGGTGAGGTTATACCTTCTACATGTGAAGTCAATCTTCAACATGTTGATCTGACATTGAAACCAGTTGTTGCTGATGACAATCATCTCTCCAGCTCAGAGATTAAGATGACAACAACTGAAGGCTCCCTTGAGCTGAAGAGTCCTGAGACAACTGTTGAAAGAACATCACATGAAATTGTTGTGGATACTGTAGAAATAAAACATGAAGGTCCTGAAGGAAAAACTAAAATGTATACATTCCAAATGCCAAAGTCTGGAATTACATATTTGAAAGGAAAAGTGCCAGAAAAGGAGGTCATACAATCCAAATCAGACATCAGTGTTCCCCAGTTAAAAGCCATGATAGAAATTGCTGACATTGCTGTTGAAGCAAAAAATTTGGAAGTGGAACCTGCTGCAGAAAGAGAAAATTTCAGTTCTAAAGCTCAAATGCCTGAAGCGGACAATAGCACATCAAAGATTGATGTCTACGTCCCATCAGGTGACATTTCTTTCCCCAAAACAGGCAGTGATATTCAGGATTCAGATACAGCATCAAAAGTTAAAGGAGAAATAAAGCATGGTGATGTAGATGGAGAAGAGAAAGAAGGACATTTCAAAATGCCAAAATTCAAACTTCCATCCTTTAGTAGGTCACCAAAAAAGGAAGCATGTATTAAGTCAGATTCTGGAGCACATCTGGAAGATCATCAACTTCCTGCAGTGTCAGGCAGAATAGACACAGAAGTGACAGGAACTGCAACTGATGATCAAGGTCCTACTACAGCCCTTGATCTGGAAATTTCTGCAGGAAAAGGTGAACAAAAAAGTCTAGTTAAAAAGGCGCAATTTGTTATGCCTAAAATTTCACTCTCCAAAATCAAGATTCCCAAATCTCAGGTGAATTTACCAAAAGTTGAAGCTGATGCTACTATTCCTAAAGTAGAAGGAGATGGTGATGATTCCATACAGATACTTGATATAGAAAGATGTTATTCCAAAAGCACAGAAGAGGGGGCTCAAGTAAGAGTAAAAATCGAAGCCTCCCAAAGGGACTTGGGTGTCAGCTTGGCAAAAACTGATGCTGCTCTGCCTTCCTCAGAGGGCAGTCTTCAAGAGGTTGTCCTAAAATCAAGTTCTGCTAAGGAAGTTACCAGTCAAAAAACAGGGATTAAGTTTCCCAAAGGAGAAGTCTCAATTGAACTGAAGAGTCCTGAAACAGGAAGTGAAGGATCATCAATTGTGGATGAAAGAAAAATGAAACCGGAAGGTGCTGAAGGGAAAATTAAAATTCCCAAAATCCAGAAGCCAAAATTTGGAATCTCTCTTAAAAAAGTGAAGGGGACAGAGCCTGAGATCAGCTCTCCAAAAGCAGAAGCTGAGCTACCCCAGCTACAAATGACAACCGAAATTGCTGACATGGATCTGGGTGTTCCTGCGTCAGAATTTGAATCTGATATTTCAGATCCTGGAATCCAGGTTTATGCTGGGGGGATCATAACACCCCAGATTCTGACAGCTGGTACTGAAACTCCCAAGGTAGACATTAATCTCCAGGCAATGACTGTAGCAGCAACAGAGGGAGCTAATGAGAATCCTGAGGAGAAGGATATAAAATTAAAAGATCAAGAAATAAAAGCTCAAGCAATTCAGACTGAAGAACATCAGGGATGGTTTAAAATGCCAAAATTCAGAATACCTTCATTTGGCCGGACATCCTTAAAGGAAAAAAAAGGTGATGCTGATGTTGAAGGAAGTCTGGAAAAGCCTCAGGTAGGTATTTCCTTTACCAAAATACAAACTGAAATAAATATCCCTGAAAATACTTTATCTTTGCCACATGCAGCCACTGAAATAACTGCTGGAAAAGAAGACCTCCTAAAATTAGGAGAGTATGTGAAGAGTTCTGATGTTAGCTTGTCAAAGATGGAAGGAAATATTTCATTATCTGCAGAAAGAACAGATGGTAAAGTTGATATTCCAAAAACAGAAATTTATGCAGATGTAGTTAAGCACCGCACTGAAGGACAAAAAATACCTACTTTGGAATTCAAAGTATCTTCAGAAGAATTGTCTAAAACAGAAATAAGTGCTTTAAAAATTGACAAAGACAGCCCAAATAAATTTCCTACATATGATCTGACTCTTCAAGAGCACCAAGTCAAAGCACAGGATATAGAAATCCCCAAAGTAGAAAGTTCCATTGAATTTGAGACTTCAAAAGTAGAATTTAAATCTTCATCACCTGAACTGAATCTGGATGCAAAACGGGAGAAAATAGATGCTAGTCTTCCAAAGGCAGATCTGGTCATCCAAGGTCAAGATGCATCAATTAAGACAGGAAAGATAAAAGATGAGATTAAAATCATAGGAAAAGATGGTCAGGAAAACCAATTGAAAAAGTCTGTGCGTGAAATGTCTACAACAAAGGAGTCAGAGGATGATGATTATGTTGCAACTAGGCTGGAAGATATGAACTTAGAAGTTCCAGGAGTGCAAATGGATGTTAAAATTGACAAAGTAGATCCTGAAATAGAATTTCAAGTGGAAAGTGTTGAAAAGGATATGTCTGCAGGAGTGCAAGTGCAAGTAGAAGACAGAGAAGAAACAAGTAAAATTAAAACATACAAGTTTAAGTTTCCAAAGTTTGGAGTGTTGCATTCAAAAGTCAAGGGTTCTGAAGATGATTTGCCTAAGTCAGAAGCTGTTTCAGTGCCTAAAACTGAAATGGGCACAGCAGAAATCCAGTTTCAAAAATCAGACATATCTTTTGACCTAAGAAGTGATATTACAGAACCATCTGCCAGAATGACAGTGGGCACTGTGGACAAATCAGAAGATGACTTAGAAGTAAATATAAAAATTCCAAAATTAAAAATACCGAGATTCACATTCAAAACTTTCCCAAATGAAGCTTATGTTTCAGTGTCAAAATTGATAACAGATCCTAAAATAACAAGTAGTGACATTGAAGTAGTGCAAGTGGAAGCAAGCTCTACAACCCCTGAAACACCAGAGGCTCTAGAAGGTGGTATTCAAAAGGCAAAAAGCAAAATTCTGATGCTGTCTGAACCTGACATTAAAACAGCACAGATGAGTGCTACCATAGACTCCTCTGTTAATGTAGGGCAAGGTATTCATTGGTCATATTTAGCCGGACAAGAAATACATGAGAAAGTGGAACCTGAACATGTTGCTATTGAGAGGTGTGAGATTTACTCTACTCAGATACTGAAAGAATCAGAGATTCTCTCGTCAGAAGTTAAAACTGCTACTTTGGGATTCTCTTTGCTCAAGGTGAAGCTGCCTGAATCACACAGTAACTTAGATGTGCTAGTTCAGCAATCTTCTGCAGAATATAAAACTGATGTATCAGTGGGCAAATCTGATGAAAGTGTGGGAGCACCAGCGCAGAGGACGGGCAGTGAAGAAGTTAAAATATCTGAAAAAACACACATTGAGACTGAGGAATGTAGTGGATCAGTATCTGTTGGTGTTGGCTTACCAAAGTTAGAAACATTTGCTGTTGAAGTTAAACCTTCCAGTAAACCAGAAGACAGTCATCCTGATAAGTCATCGGAGAGAAAAACTGTAGCTCCTCTCTCTAAAGATGATGATGTAGCTGAAGCACTAGATGACGAGGAAAATGGCATAATTGATCAAAAAGAAAAGACTGATAGTAAAAGATCTCCTGGAAGATTCAAATTTTGGCTTCCCAATATTGGCTTTTCATCTTCTAGTGATGAAACAAGCTCAGATTTAAAAACAGAAGTGAAAAAAACAGTTCCAGAAGACACGAAACCCACTAACACATTAGAAAGCGATTATTCTAAGCAAACTGAAAAAACTGGATGGTTTAGATTTCCCAAGCTTGGTTTCACATCTCCTTCCAAAAAGGCAAAGACAGTTGATAAAGAGGAGGAGACAGGACATAAAGATAGAAGAAGCTCAGATGAAGATAGTCCATCAGATAAACCCGACATATTTTTTGATGCACAAGAAAGCTTATCACCTAAAGAAACAATAACAGAGAGTGAAAAAAATGAAATTATTGGGACTTCATCTAATGTTCCTGTTTCTCGAAATATCGTTACATCTTCAGCAAGAACTGAATTAATCTTGCTGGAGGAAGAAAAAGGTAGTCAAACAAATATTGCTGGAGATGTAACCAAATGAGAATAGTCATTTCCCACCCCCCACATACAGGACTAATCTGTACATATAGAAAAAAAAAATCTGCTTTCTGAATCTTCCAGTAACTGAAAATGAAACAAAACTTAAAAACTGACATTTATGAAATGCTTGTTGAAAATAAGTTGCTACATATAATTTTTAAGTACATGAATGTGCTATACTGCACACTAATAAAATTATTTATTTCTTCAAATCTACCTAAAAAGAAGCAAACAACTGCAGATGCAGAGGAGTTTATAGTTTTAGCAAACTTTTAGCAAAGATATATTAACTGGGAAAATAAACCATTTAAAGTCTCAAAAACAGCAAAAAGACTTATTAAATGGGCTTCTCCAAAATACACTGATTATGTTTAGATCCTACATTATTTTCGGAAAGGAGTATAAACTAATAGTATGAGAACTACACTTACCTGCTTAGATTTTATATTGAAAACTTTCTGACCTACTTTGTTTTCTTATTAAAATATTTTATTTCAGCTAGAATATATGTATATTCCATATTTTAAAATGCAAAATAAAAATAAATTACTAGTGTAGATAGAATAACAACACTTTACTCCTTCCCCTCTTCTTTTTTTTTTTTTTGATTATTGTGATGGGTCCTACTTAGTCTTAAAAGATTAAAAGAAAAAAACAACAAAATAAAGACCAAAAAAAATGTAGTTGATTCAAAGTTTCAAAATACCTGAATAAAACATGACAAAGAAAAATGATAAAAATGTGGGCAAATAAAATTTTTATGTGTATACTGATTAGTCAAATCCATAAAATGCACAGAGTGGTCTGCCACACCTTGGTGGAATTGCTTCGAAGCTCTTCCGGGAAAGTAGATGTATATAATTATTTACCTCTTTGTTTATATTAATGCTTCTTTCAAGTGCACAGCCAAAACCAGAATGCATATGTGATGGCATTCACATATGGATTTGTATCACAAAAACACTGGTTGTATTCTTAATTCACAATAAACTCACCATATGAATAATAACATGAGTGGCATGAGTTACTGATTGATCTGCTAGGATTTTCTGATTCTGGAAACTGCAGATGCTACTGTGAAGATGACTTATATTTGCAAAAAGTTTGAGTATACCTCACTATCTTCTGAAGTGGCCACTTCATGGCACCACAGTTTCTAATTGTGTAATGTTTTCAAACTAATCTGAGACTTTTCACCCATTACAACCATAGAATCATTATGATTGGGAAAGATCTTCAAGGTCATCTAGTCCAACCATAAACCCTTCAACACCATGCCTGTCTGGAGTTTCATATATTTGCATATGCAGTCATGCTTCTTTATTGTACTCTTCTGATCCATATTTTCTTTCTTCATATTCTACTTACTACAGGGAAACCAAATAGAGAAAGAAAGAAAGAAAGAAAGAAAAAAAGAAAAGGCCTGTAAAGGGGGTGTCAAGCTATCTCTAACCTGAAGCGTTCTTCATTCCTATATCTTTGAGATAGACTGAAACACTCTAAAGAATTCCTGGAACCTTGTGTTTCTGATATTCTCTCTGGAGAGATTGTTCACATAGGTATTAAGTATGCACCATTTCTTTGGATCATGCAACATTTCCCTGAAGCTTCCATAAGTTTATTTCTCATTGTCCAATAGACCCCAAATTACCACATCAAACAACAACAACTTACTCCAAAACTAAGGAAAAAAATATGACGAAACCAGAAAAACTGAGGCCAGGAAAAGGTAATGCATGTAATAAAGAACATCCTATTCTAGCAGCAATTCATATCAGCCCTCAAGGGAGCCTTCTCATTAAATAATGTGTTCTGTTACTTGAAGGCACAAACGGGAATAAAACTATATAGCACCATCTGTAGGTGCCTGTTGGGAATGGCAGAAGAATAAAAGCAATTAAAATTGAGCTCTGAGATGCTGATGGCCTCAAAGCAATAATCACTATGATGTTTTAAAAGATGAATGAAATAGATGTGGAAAGACCTACAGAGAAAAGAAGCAGCAATAAAATCTTCCTCTGAATAGTCTACTCTCAGTTCTGGGAAAGGCAAAAACGCCAAAAAGGCTTTATAAGATGAATCTCAGCCCACAGAAATCTTAAATTACCCCAAACAAGTCCCTCAGTTTGCCTGGGAACTGTGCCCGATTGAACAACTTAGCACATGTAGATTTGAGCTGACAAGGTCGAAAGAAACTTTTCCTCTTACTGCAAAAACTAACCCCCAAAAACCACAGGGAAAATGTAGCTTCGAGTGCCATCTAGAGGAGCAAACACAGGGAAAAGTACTTTCGTGTGTTATAGACACAACTTCTCAAAAATATTTTCAAAGTAACCTTACCATTCAAGTGTGTTCATTGCTGGACTCTTGGAAAAATCTGTCCAGCAGTTGTTCCTGCATACAAATAGTAATATAGCACTGCTTATATTTGCTGGCACAGGACAATAAACCTGTGAAGAGTGAAAACCAAAAGGGAATGGTTTCTACTTTGCAAGGAGTTATAATTAGTGAATGGGAAAATTCTAAATATTAAGAAGAATTGAGAAAAGAAATGGTGGAGGAGAGTGCTAAAAGCAGCTGCATCTCACCAATATGTTCATGAGAATGTGAATGCTCACAAGATTGCAGTGTTGCTCATAGATATAAATAAAAGCTATAAAAATTGGCCTTAACAACAACACACATTGGTTTATAATGAGATATACATCAATCTGAGGGATCTTGGAAAGTCCTGGAAAAGATGGCTAAAACAAGCTGCTGGGAAACCAAAAAAAATGTACAATGGAAAACTGCCTGGGATCATCTCCAACACACATGGGGGCAGGGGGGCACTCTCATTTGCACGGGAGTTTGCATGTGTTCACAGTGCTATAAATCAGTGTGGCAGCTAACACACAGTGTTCAAACCAGCAGCATATTTAACCTGTGCACTTAGGGCTTGCTGATGAATAAAACTGGACGCTGCACTGACCTCGAGCTGCTTCCTGCCCCAGTGCTGGTGAGGCCTGTCTGGGTTTCAGAGCTGCAGAGATGGGGGTGTTGGAGAGGACCATTACTCACCACATCTTCGAAGCTGTGTAGAGGAGCCCTGTGCCAAGCTTTCAACACAGGCTCTCGTGCAAGTGCTCTCCCCAGCTGCATGTCAAGGCCAAGGCAAAAAGCTCACATGCTGGCTCCACACGCTCCTCTAGGAGTCATCTAACACGGCACCATCTCCTGAGCCTCTCATCTTCCCTATCCTCCCTTTCCTACTCCACCAAGGTAGGACCACCACACCATGAGCATGCAATGCCAGAGTTTTCAGATACCACCATCTTGTGGTGGCCAAGACCTAAAGCAGCGCCTGGAAGAGGAGGATGCAGCCCCTCAGACTTGCCCTGGCCACACAGCTCCTCCACCAGGACAGAGGTCAAGCAGAGATGAAGGACCCACTTTGGTTCAGCTTAATGAAAACACCCCAAGAGCTGTTTCAGTCTAGCTCTGTGCTGGCCCCTTTTCATGTGGTGAAGCCCTAGGCTGGGTCCCCCATTGCTAGCAGCTGGTCACAGGCCCACGGCTCCCCAAACCGGGCTGCGGAGGGCATCAAGAAAGTGCTGCCAGGGCACGGCACCTGTCACTGCCACCAATCAGGAACCAGGTGGGATGGTCTTGTCCAAGGGTTGGTGGCATCCCTGCCCTGAGGAGGGAAGTGTCCCCTCCTGGAGGACATCCAGAGCCAAGAGGGGAGGGAAGAAGCTGTGATGGAAGAAGGGGGAGTGGGTTTTAAAAACATGCCCCTAGGTTGTTAGCAACATAGACCGTTGCTTATGTGGCTCAAATCCCAAACACTGTTAATGGAACATTAGTGTTGGAATATATATCTTCCTTAGCACAGCACAGCAATAATGAGCAGTTTCTGTACCTGGTTATTTCTGCTTTAATATCTGATAGCTTGCCATATAATTATGTACACATTTCATTAAGTCTGAGATGGGTTAATCATACAAGAAAGACAATGTCACACACTAATGATTATGCAGGTAGACTCAACTACAAACATCATCAAACAATTTGGACATAACGAGGAAGATAGTCTTCTTTCTCTGAAGAAGAGGAGGAGAATGAAGTTCACAGTGAACAAGATTTGAGCATCTTTTTGTTTCTATTTTAAATTTATATTTTAATTCACATCATAATCTACCTCTCCAGTTACAGTCTTTCTGCCCTTGCACATCTTCCAAATTCACTGAATATTTGGAATCCCAGTCTCTTTCAAAAAGCTTTTTCAGTTGTTCCTGGATAGGCAATTGCTGCCTTTGCAAGTTGGTCGAATTCTGTTTGATAATTAGTCCCACACCAGCTGTATTAATGAAGTAATCTTCTGACCAATTGGAAGTCCCTGTGCAATGGAAAATACAATTTGAATACATAAATTTTTCAGCATTTTGTTTGATCTTCATACTTGTTAAGTACACATTTGCCTGAGTTTGCTGATTCGCTGTGCAATGGCAAATCTCATTAGGGCCAGTGCAGCAGCAAAAATCAGTTCACTTCTTCTTTCTTATTTCAGACCTCAACTTTAGAAAGTCGGTATTAACTGCTACCCTGAAGCTTCATAAGTGTGATTTCTTTGGGCTTGTGTCAGAGATGCATGAATCTGGGGGGAAAGTGCAGCATTCAGATATTAAAAGGGGGAAAAGACAGTGTTTGATATAAATTTCTGCATTAAGAAAAAAAAAAAAAACTAATGTACTTTAATTCTCTCTTCTGTAGGCCAGTATGCTACCACTAAAATAATCTCAATAATCTCTTTGTTTGCCATGAGCAAACAAATAACAGAAAATGAGCTCCAGAGCAGAACTTTAGTTGTTAAAGGAAAAGAAAAGGAGAAAGTGGATTGATGAATAACTCCTCAGTAATTGTGCCGGGTTAAACATGCAATGTCTGCTTTTAACCAGTTTTGCCAGGCAAAAATGGAAATCCAGCTGTATATATTCATAAGGCTGTCTTCAAAGCCATCAT